AGACCCTCAATTAGCTTGTGCATACGGTGCTGAAAAACTTCAGGGGCCAAACTTATACCAAAAGGCTTCCTACACCAACGATAGCAGCCAAAAGGTGTGTGAAAGGTAGTCAGATGCGATGACTCCTCGTCCAATTTGACATGCCAAAACCCATTCTTTGCATCGAGGACAGAAAACACTTTGGTGCCATGAAGGCGAGTTGCAATGTCCTCTATGGTAGGCATAGGATAGTTCTCCCAGAGAACAGCTTTGTTGAGATCCTTCAGGTGGTGACAAATTCTTATATTCTCGACTGCTAACATATATGAGATCCTGGGTGTTGGCTTTGATACTGGCTCAATGACCCCTGCGCTATGTAATTTATCCAGGGTTTCTTTGATTTTATTGCAAAGGGTGACCTGACCTCGCTGGGGAGCATGCTGAACTGACTTGGCTGAATTGTTAAGACAGATGCGGTACTCGCCCTCAAGTAAACCAATCATCATCTAGTCCTCTTTGTCCCATGGGGGACATAGGGCATCCACAATTGCTTTCCAAGTAAACCAAGCCCCTCATCAAAAACATCGGCGAACATCTCTATTACCTGCTCTTTAGTAAGTGGCCTGCAACTAGACATCACATCCTCAGCAGAAAACACTTGACCACCACTCATGTCAGGCCACCGAATTGGGTCAAAATCTTTAAATTTCAACAACACCCATCCCTTCGCAAGCTGGCTTGCCCAAAATAGCACAGCAGCACTTGCTTTTCACAAGATGACACAACAACATACAAGTGAAAGATCCTCTCCAAACTTGGAGTTTAACTGTTCCTAACACTGAGATATTTCTGCCATCAAAGGATACAATGGAAGACTTGGCTAGCGTAACATGCTTGAGGTCAAAATCACCTGTCACCTTGTAAATATGTGTAGACAAAACATTACAACGCGTTCCGGTATCAATTTCAAAACGTATCGAGTTTCCACTCTGTACTTTCAGTGTTACAAGACTTGAATCCAAGCTTTGATTAGCTGACGCCTTGAAAACTTGGAAAACAGGCAACTCATCCTCAACTTATCCTCAAGGATAACGAAGTTGATTTGCAGGAAGCGGCTGTCTGCCAGATGACTTTCCCTCTGAGGACTTGTTGTTTTCCTTGAGAAGGTGAACGTTGGATAGGTTGAACTTGCTCACTGCCTTAATCTGCGCTTGAGACATCTCCACAGCCCGACAGATGTCCATTGTCTTCATTGCAAGGTTAAGTTCGGGTTCACTCAGGAACCTTTCCCTAACTTTATTGTCAGCAATTCCAAAGATAATTCTATCTCTTAGAAGATCATCAGGCGTGATGGCATCAAAGGCACACTTATCAGCGATTTGACGAAGTTCAGTCACATAG